TTCAAGCTTCAATGTGTGAGTTATTCAGCAGCACAAAAATCCTCTTGGTTTAATGTATGCCATAGGTTTCAGATTTGGCCAACATCTGGGAGGCAGTGGAAGACAGGAGGGACCTGGCATGCCTTGGTCCATGGGGGTCACGAAGAGTCAGATACAACCTAACAACTAAACAACAACAAAATAGGTTTTAGAAGAATGCTAAGCTCCTTCTCTTGAGGGGGTTCCCCCCATTTCAACCCCTATTTTATCTTTTCTCCAGCCCCCTATCAGCTCCCCCCCCCCAGCCTCTCTGCTCAACCTCCCTCCAGGTCTGACCGGGCAAGGATAGAGAGAGACCAGTATAGCTGGCCAGGGACATCTCACTCACTGGAACTGCCTGATCCTTCCGCTGCCCCTTGTGCATCACAGTGACACAAAAAATAGTTCCTGGCTCCAGTGATACCATGGACACAAGTATGTGGGCTTTAAATTATTTGCCCTCATTGTAAATCCATTGATAGGAAATTAAGATCCATGCACTGATGGGCATTGTTTAGTGTATAGGAAGAGTTCAAGACGTCCAGCTGTTGGAGGCAGTGGGGGAGAGAATGCAAACTTCATCATTTTAGATGTTCTGAATGCTGGTCTTCTATCTTTTTATAAAGGCAGGGTGTTCTAGAATAATGAGCCTAATACAATTTGGTACATGGTTGTTCTAAACATTGTTAGATGTAATTTTATTATGGCATTTAAAAAATATATATTCCAGCTTGATTTTTAAAGTGAGAGTGTCACACTCATCATCATCATCATCACCATCATCATCACCATCATCATCATCATCATCAATCATCATCATCATCTGCCAGATAACTATAATTTGATTTTTTTTCCAAAAAATTAAAAACCACCACCATTATTCTGAGCAACAGTATAGTGGTAACTAGAAAGCGTTACTTGAAAAAGCACGAGCTGTATTCTGTTATTTCCATACAGTTTGCATGACATTGTACAGTGGCGCCTCGCTGGACAGTAACTTTGCATGACATTTTTTTCACTAGACATTGACTTTTTGCGATCGCTATAGCGATTCGCAAAACAGTGATTTCTATGGGGGAATTTCGCTGGACAATGTTTGGTCCCTGCTTTGCAAACCAATTTTCGCTAGACAATAATTTTGACATCTCCCTCCGTGCTCGCAAAACGGGTGTTTTCGGAACCTAAGCTATTTAAACAGCTGATCGGTGTTTCGCAAAATGGCTTTCCTATGGCCAATGTTCACTAGACAATGACGATTATACTATGCCAGTTGTGATTGCTGTGTGACACACCTGTGGAAATACTTTGTGGCTATGCTATGATTTTTCCTACTGCTTTATATTACGCACACATACCTATGCGAAAGGATTTCGGGCACTAACTCATACAAATATAAAATCCCATTGTTTTTATGTGAATTATTAAGACATTCTGGTTTTCTAGTCAGTCTTTCAATTACTATTAAAATTATTATTATTATTATTATTATTATTATTATTATTATTATTATTATTATTATTATTATTATTATTATTATTATTATTATTATTATTATTATTATTAGCCATATAACTATAATTTGATTTTTTTTAATCAAAAAATTAAAAACCACCACAATTATTTTGAGCAACAGTATACTGGTAACTAGAAAGCGTTACTTGAAAAAGCATGAGCAGTATTCTCTTATTTCCATACAGTTTGCATGACAGTGTACTGCCTACGTGATTGATTGTTTACTGAGCTTGCAAAAAAGGTACCCATTGGCTGAAATTCAGTAGATGTTGGCATAACAAAGTTACTTCTGTGAAAGTGTGCTGGGCTTTGTGCACTGCATGATTTGATTGCCTAATTGATTATACTGTGCCAGTTGTGATTGCTGTGTGACACACCTGTGGAAATATTTTGTGGCTATGCTATGATTTTTCCTACTGCTTTATATTATGCACACATACCTGTGCGAAAGAATTTCAGGCACTAACTCATACAAATATTTGTTTTTATGTGAATTATTAAGACATTCTGGTTTTCTACTCAGTCTTTCAATTACTGTTAAAATATTTTCAAAGTGTGTTCTAAAAGAAAATAATTAAAGAGATATCATAGTGAAAATGCATATCAAAACTTCATATGCCAATTTTGCCATATTCCACTCACACTCCCATTCCTATACTTTCTTGTCAGCAATAATGCAGTGGGATCCTGAAAACTGATTAAAAAACAAACAAACCCAGAACTTATTTTTAAAGATACTTTTTCTTTATTCCTATCAGAATGTTGCACAATTTAAAATTATGGATATATATGAAATATACATACAGTTCAAACAAATTTAAAATGATAAAATAATTGGGCTATTTTTAATTAAAAATTTTAATAAGATACAATATAAAAACATAAAATAGTTATAAACCATCATACCCTACATAGTAAGCACGGTGCGTGGTATTATTAGTTAAAATAACACATCTTTCCATAAATCAGCATCAGGGACTTGTGCCACTATGTAGAGATAGCAGCTTCCTTCTTAAATAATGCATTATATCGTTCAGTTTGTTAGCAAGGGGCAGACTGAGGATGGCTTATGCCTCACTAGACAGTTACCCCGCATGATAGTTTTTTCGCTAGACATTGACTTTTTGCGATCGCTATAGTGATTCGCAAAACGGTGATTTCTATGGGGGAATTTCACTGGACAATGTTTGGTCCCTGCTTCGCAAACCGATTTTTGCTAGACGACGATTTTGACAGCTCCCTCCGTGCTCGCAAAACAGGTGTTTTCGGGAACTAAGCTTCACAAGGCAGCGATTTAAACAGCCAATTGGTGGTTCGCAAAACGGCTTTTGAATGGCCGATCTTTGCTAGACAACGACAATTCTTCCCCATTGGAATGCATTAAACAGGTTTCAATGCATTCCAATGGGGAAATGCTTTTCGCTAGACAATGATTTCGCTAAACAGCGATTTCAGTGGAACAGATTATCATCGTCTAGCGAGGCACCACTGTATATGGCTGTGATCTTCCTTTGCTTATGTCAGAAGCACTGCAGTAATATCAATAAATATGTCAGCCAATTTTAACCCAATAACAGGCAAGATGAAGAGCACTTGGAAAAGCTAGTCCCAAGTCCGCTCCTCCTTATCCCAGCGCTGGCGTTCCCTTTGGTGTCTTCTCTGCAAGCATTGGAGTCAGGTGGCCATCGGTTCTCTCAACCTAGGTTCTGTTTTCCTCTGCTCAGGGTCTCCTTCTGGAGACTTCTCAGCCCAGTTCACCTCCAGCTAGCCTTTCTGAGCATCCCTCCAGGCCCTTTCCTCTAGTTCCTCTTCTTCTGTCACAACTGAGACAGAACTTGCCTCTCCTGACCTTTCTTTTGATCAGGCAAATCTGCTCCCTGACAGGTTCTCTCTGCTGTCGATTCTGCCTCCCCTTGTGACTTTTCTATCCCCCATTCACCAGGAACAAGCCACTCCTTTTCCCTCTCCTCCAAGAGTTGTCTCTCCTCCTCCAGGGTTCCTGCTACCACCTCAGTGAGGTGAGACCCAGTTTCCTGTGACTGGGGCTTTTCCTCCCTTCCTGAGTCCACGTTTTCACCATCCAAGTCTCCTGGCACCTTGGTACTGTAGTCTCTATGGATAGCTCAGTCCATACTTCAGGCCTGGGATGGAGTGTGACTGTCCACCGACAGGGGCACCCTCCCTGCTGTCCTCTTCACAACAAGGATCTAGTAGAATCTGTATTAATACAGTATATGCAGTTCACTGCCATAAGATTTAATGGTACCTCACTGGAAGGACAGATTCTGAAGCTGAGGCTCCAATCCTTTGGCCATCTCATGAGAAGGGAAGACTCCCTGGAGAAGACCCTGATGTTGGGAAAGAGTGAAGGCAAGAGGAGAAGGGGAAGACAGAGGATGAAATGGCTGGACAGTGTCATCGAAGCTACCAACATGAATTTGACCCAACTCCGGGAGGCAGTGGAAGACAGGAGGGCCTGCTTTGCTCTGGTCCATGGGGTCACAAAGAGTCGGACACGACTTAACGACCACATCCTTCTTCCCTGCCTCATCCAAACCTTTGCCTCCCTTTCCCTCTTTTTGTTGACATGGCCCAAGTCACCTTTGTCCAAGAGCATAGGCTGGTGGTTTTGTGCTGTGGCAAAAAGGAGAGGGGTCTGTGTGCAAAAGAACACAGGCCAGGGGAGAAAGTCAAGGAGGGAGACGTGTTTTTTGTTTCTTTCAGAATGGGACTCGGTTCTCTGACAGAGCGGTTGGTGGTTTCAAAAGTCTGAGGAGCACTAGAGGAAAAGACAAGGCCTCTGAGCCTAGTAGAAGGTGGCTTCTTGCCAGTCCCCGCAAGGCTTTAAAGCTATATTTAGAAGCGTCTCTCTCTTCCAAACTAAGGTCATTTTGTCTGAGCCAGTGATTAGACAAGCACTCTGCCAACGATTCCATCTTCCAGACTCAGAGTCCTCCTCAAAACTGTGGGGGACAACCAGTTGCACAAACTGAGGGTGGATGATGAAACAGTCCCATCTTGGCACCCTTTACAGCTTTTGGTCCGGCTTCCCACCAGCCAGACACACATCTTTCCACATGGTGTTAGGATCTGGAGATTTCTCTTCCACGCCAGCCAACTCGGGTGGCTCAACAGGTCTCTCTCTTCTTATTGGTCAACATGAGAGACATCGTGAGGTCCTGAAGCCCTCATGGAGGGCAAGGAGCTGATCTAGGCAAAAGAGTTTTGGGAGTAAATCCAGACTGTAAATAGAATCACATTGCTAATCACGAACAAAGCCTTACCTGCTCAAACAAGGTAATGAGTGGCATGTCTAAAGCTGGCCTTCACCACTAGTTAGGGTCAGATCTTGCTATATAAATCGAGGTCAGTAAAGCTGGAAACTATGACTGCTCAAAGCTAAGCTGGCTTTCCTTGCAGCCTACTTTTCTGCAACGCAGAAACACAAGCAAGCGTCGGACCCTGGGGATCATCCGGATCTGCCACCATGGAAGGATACTTCTCCGCGGTCCAGAAGATGGAGCAAACCGTGATGTTTCCCAGCCTTCTCCTGGGGGTGTCGATGGAAGACCAGGGAGACAATGTCAACGGCAACTCTACGGACAGAGACTCCAGTGATAGAGATTTGTACGAATATTACATCCTTCTCAAATCCATCAAGTTGACAGCGGAGGGTGGCCTGGGACTTCTTAAAGACAAGAGTCTCCACCTCAGAGAAGATGAGGTCAAAGAAGAGAAGGATGATCTTGAAGGACTCTTTCGTCACCACGTATCCGGCTTGTGCCACGTCCTCACAGAACTGACCAGGCGAGCCAATGTGGTGACTTCCAAATACAATGAAATTATGGGGCAGATCAACCAGAATGAAATGGCTCTCCGCTGGTGAAACCTAGAACAGCAAAGGTGAGTTCTGTGCTCATTAGACCTCTACATGCCAAACTTTCTTCTCTTAACCCTTTGTTTGCACGCTTTCCTAATAGTTCTCCCCCGAAAAAGTACCCCAAGAGAGACTGAGAGTTATGACAAAAGTGATTTTGCATCACCGGGCCCGGCCCTGCCATTAGGCAGAGAGAGGCAGTGGCCGAAGACAGCAGCCTTTGTGTATAGTGAAAGGAGAGAAAATTATTGTTTGTTATTATTGTACTTCTACTGTTAGGGGTTAAAGGAGGTTCCTGTGGATTTTGGAGGTTATATGCCCCCAAATTTTGTTGGGAGTGTGATCCAATGAGATCCAGAAGATTACACTGAGATTACCCCCTGTTTTCATCCACAAGTCAATTGACGGTGATGGTTGCAGCCTCTGTATGTTCTCAGAGGCCGTGTCTCCTGCCATTAAATCTTATATTGCAGGGCTTGCTTTGAGAATGGAGAGTCTTTATTCAGAACATTTATTGTTTGGAAGCTTTGATTAGAGCACTCAAGTGGAGTTTCTTAAATTGTTGAGCTTAATCAGTGATCGATCCTAACCCCACTGGTTAACTTTCTTTTCCTCTTTTTCAATTCCAGTTTTTTACCCGACGAGCTGCATTTTACAAGCTGAACATGTGCGCAACTTGGATTTTCTACCTGGGAAGGGTCTTTTTAACTGGCACCCAGATATCTTAAACACGTCAGTGTCTACTGCACAAGAGTTGCATCGCATGAACTATACTTGAATAATTATCTAGCACTGATATTTGTGGAGCGATGTGCGAACTCATCAACCTATCTATGCCTCAAGCACTATCGCTTGCTGGTGTATAAAAATTGCCACAGTTTACAAAAATAAAGCATTTTATTCAACTCAAAGTTGTCTTGTAATTAGACTGCAATTTCACCCAGGCCAGTATTGTGTGCCGCTAGAGATGGGGAATGTGTGGTTTTCTAGATTTTTCTAGATCATTCCTCAGCACCAGCAGGTGGCCTGTGATTTACACAAACAGTCTGAGGTAAATGTATGAACTCAGGATGGGTGGGTTGGCAACCTCCCAGCCAAAATACCCATAAAAAGTACATTTGTGCCCTTGTGGGAGCCAGATTTGGCATCCTTTCAATTTCAACACCCTGAATCAAAGCCCCTCGTCTCCTCTGCCACAGGTACAGCTTGGGGGATCCAGCCCAAAATAAGCAAAAAGGAACCCTTAAACTGCTCATCCACAGTGAATGGCACATGGACATCGGAACTCAGCCGGCATCCAGATCCTCTTAAAGTCAATTTTGCCCGCTCAAGAGTGGCTTATGCAACGAAAACCTCATTTCTAATGTATCCTCTCTGCATATTAATTAGTATATGATGATTATCAGACATCCTACGGACCTTTTGTGGTGCTGCGGGCCCCTATTTCGGCTGACGTCCGCCTGCCTTGCTGTGGGGGCTCCGTCGGAAGCTGCCCAGAGCCTGGAAAAATTACTCTTTTGGACTACAGCCCCCCAGAATTCCCCATTATCCATACTCTCTGGGGGATTCTGGGAGTTGTAGTCCCAGACAGGAACTTTTTGGGGGGGAAGTCTATAGCTCTGGCTAACCTGTTACTTGAAACGGGTTGACACATGACCCCTCAGGTGAGGGGTATGGCCGTCTTACAGCCCTGAAATAAAATCCACCCTGCTTCTGTAATTCGGACTGGCTATCTCTGAATTTCCCTCACTCTGGATTTCCCCATTAGGTGACTTGTCTTCCTGCTGAGTCTACTGCTCAGGTGCTGCTAACTGTGGATGATAGGCAAAGGGATTCCCCAGTCTCCTTCTTTTGATTCTATCTCTTTAAATCCCTCTCAGCTTGCACGGGTGGAGGCTGGTCCATCAAGACTCACAGGGCAATGCCCCCAAATCAAGATGAGGCAACTCAGCCACCCTGCTCCTGCGTGACTCCTTACCAGAAGGATTTCCACCTGCTTATGTGTGCTTGAATGCCCGTTTTTAACTTTGCTCGCCTGTCTCCCCTGGCTTGGCATTCTCCGATGTGCCTCCTGCCCCCCCTCCAACATAATAGGCACCATCTGCCAGTGGAGTGGGCAACCCATTGACTAGGGGGACACCCTTGAAAGGGGGAAATGACGCTGGGAGAACCCTGTGAATAGAAAACAGTTCTCCATAAAAGAAAGGAAAAGGCCTGGGATCAAGCTGTATCCCAGCCTAGTGCTGGGCTTGTGGCTACTGAACAGACGTGATCCTTATGGAGGACGGTAGCAGGCAAAAAGAAGGAAGAGGAGGGGGGAGGAAGAGGAGAAAAAGGAAATTAGGGTTGCCATCTTCTTTCTCTCCCCCCCCCCCTTTTACAGGTACAGATGGGGCAGCTGCAACATGATCCTTTTCCACATTGGAAATAGCTGTATATCTGTTAAATCTGGCCAGTGCTGTTGGTTAAGAAAGTGATAAGACGTTTCCATTTTGAAAAGAAGTTCCAAGTTTTGCAAAAAGAGATATCTATATCACTTTGACAAAATGACCCCTGAGTTTAAAAAAAAAAGTGTGGAAAAGTGAAAATGACAACTGTTGGTCACTTCTGTGTCTAAATTTAATGATGGGATTGCATCAGCAGCTCCAATGTTGCAAGAGTGATCCTTGACACTGGTTATGCATAATGAAATGATCCGCTGGCTTGCACGGTGCACATCTGACATTAAAATGAATACGGTGTAGTCTCTGTATTCTAAGTCATGTGTGTGAAAACGTGGACCATGTTCAAACGAAAGCTTCCATGAAAATATAGCAGTTAGTCTTTACAGTGCATCAATATCTTTTTTCCCCTTTTGTTTTCTTGTTGATATGGTGGGAAATGGCTTTCTCAGAAATGTTAGGAATTTTCCACTGAGCACCTGGCACAATTTACAGACTGACTTGACTTTAATCAATCAGCACACCCTGGTACCATCTGGGGTCAAACATCTGGATTCAGCCCAACATTTTGAGAGCTTTCCAAACGGTAAATAAAAGTCACATCGATTAACACACACAAAAAAGATAACAGACCATTGGCTGAGATGTGTAGAAGAAGAGATGTGATTTGTTGCTAAGAGAGGAGTGTCCTTCCATACTTGCATGGAACATATCCTGATCATGCCCTCCATGACTGATTGTCATGGCCATAAATTGCCACCAGAGGATTGGGACCTACGACCATTCGGAGTTCGCTGCGGTTTGGACAACTCCGTTGAGGTGTCAACAAAACCAGCAAACGTCCCTGTCAAAACCATGGAAGAATACTTCTCCGCTGTCCGGAAAATGGAACAAACGGTGATGTTTCCCAGCCTCCTCCAAGGTGCCCCCTTGGCAGAGCAGGCGAACACGTTGGACACAGACTCGAATGAAAAGGATCTTTATGAGTATTACATGTTGCTGAAATCCATCAAAACGATGGTGGAAGGTGGCCTGGTGCCTCTGAATAATCAGACGTTTCACATTGCTGCTCAGACGAAAGAACAGGAAATCAAAGAGGAAGACGACCTGGAGGACTTGTTTTATTACCATGTCTCCAGCTTGTATCGCGTCCTCACCCAACTGACCAGGAGAGCGAACGCCGTGACTTCCAAATACAATGAAATTATGGGGCAGATGAACCAGAATGAGAAGAGGCTCAGCTTCTGAGACAAGGACCCTGTTAGCAGCAAAAGGTAATGGTAGAAACATAGGATCACAAAGTTCAAATGAGAAGAGGCTCAGCTTCTGAGACAAGCACCCTGTTAGCAGCAGAAGGTAATTGTAGAAACATAGGGTCACGAAGTTCGAAGGGGCCTATAAGGCCATCTAATCCAACCCTCTCTGCTCAAGGCAGGAATAAAAATCAAAGGATATATTTGATGTGTAACCCACCTTTATAAGTGCTTTCTCAGAAAAAAAAAGTCCCCCTTGACCTAAGAGAACCTACTCCTCTGTCTCTACGCATAGGAATGTAGCCTTCAAACAGGGATGGTGACCTGATTAACCATCAAAAGGGATGGTGACCTAATTAGGGGGATATCTGAGTGCTTCTCCGTTTGATTCAAAGGACGCACAAAGGCCATGCATCTTTGAAAAACGAAGCCCAGAATCCCCAGACAGGGCAACAGCCTTTGACTGGAATCTCTCCCGCACAGAGATTCTGTGGGTATGAGCAACAGGAGGGATGGGAGACTGATTTCAAAGCCACACTTATGACTTTCCTTACCTGTATCCCGTTGGCCAGTGCAGGAAACATTGTGTGAAATCAGTGAGTTCCATGGGCTTTAGTCTCAGTCTCAGATCAGGATGTATCTTTCCCTACGTGGAGCCTTCTAGATGGCTCGGATTACAATGCTCATCAGCCTAGCCGTGTGGCCAATTGTTTGGGGGGGGGAATGGATTTGGTGCATCCTTATAGGTATGATATCCATATGTTTGACATAAAGTATTTCCTCCTTGTATTCGCGAAGGCTTTCACACCCAGGATCTAATGGTTGTTGTGGGGTTTTCGGGCTCTTTGGCCGTGT